ATCACTGGAGCAGGAGAGTTACCCAAATAGATTAAAAGAAATCTATTATAATAAGGCTGTAAAGTAAAACGAAAGTATAACTTTGGGCTAGTATCCTATTAATTCAGTGTAATGACAAGACTGGTTATCAAATGGTAAGCCAAACATATGGTTGATACCTTGTGTTCTGATTTATTTTTAAAAAGGGGGAGGAGGGAATAATTGTTTAATAAGTATAGATTAGTAGGCAAAGTCTTTCAAAACTTAGGGCCTGTAGGAAAGGAAATGATGGTCAGGAGCATATTAAAAGGATTCTTAGATGGCAAAAAGATTAGAATGGGTATCTTCTAGTATTCCCTAATAATAACAGCCAACATGAATTGCGCATGTATTCTATGTCAAATACTAATAAGCAAAGCACAATACATGAATTATCCCCTTTGATCTTCACAGAACTCCATAAAGCAGGTAAGACTGATCCTACTTTTCAGATGAGAAAACTCAGGCTAAATGAAGATAAATAACTTATCCAAGGTCCCATTGTTAATAAGGTTAACTGAATGAAATCTAACTCCAAAGGTCTTTAACCAATATACTTCTTCCATTGATCTATTTAAAGAAAAAAAAACATATACCTATTTAATACTTTAAATATATTTTAGTTTTTAACGGATTTGTTTTCATTAAGTACATCTTATACTTTGATATGAAATATAAAACTTTCAAATATAAAAGTTTTAAAGCAATGTTATAGACTTTAAAACTCTTAGTGGAATAAAATAACTGGTAAACTGTAGGACCACATCGTAAAAGACAAATGCCTGACTTATTTTAAGAAGACTAGTATTTAAAAATATTGTCATTCTCTACTGATGCTTTGGATTCTTTGTGGCATATCAACATAATGAAGCCTTATAAAGGTCCTTTTTAAAAATATCACATTTTGCTGATTGTAGTTAAATGTGGGATAATAGTACAGATAAAACCATTACCTGGAGAGAAAAGTTTATATGATGTAACTATATCTTTCTAAGCTACTTGAGGAACATACTGACTACCACTGTTTTGATTATATATGTCTTTAGAGTGTATATTGCTGAGGAAGGAAAATCAATGATGCAAGAAGAGCACAAAAGTTCAACAGTTTAAAAAAAAATCTTACTGAACAAATATTCAGATAGAGAAAACAATATATGATCATTTCCAGTTTAGTATGGCGGAGTAAGGCAGGGAATCTGAAGCTTTTCAGATAATAAAGCCTAATTAAATATTCAAACCAGACTACTTCAACAGCATGAAGTGGGGACTGAACTCTCCACAAAATTTTTAATATTATTGTTGTTTATTTAATTAACCTGATATTATTGTCTGTTATACTTTTTTAGATTATACATAAAAAGGATATCATTAATTACGGCATATAAAAATGTTATAAGAATGTACAATATATTGATATGCGCCAGTAATACCAAATATATGGAGTACAATGCCATACTGCCAAAATAGGATGATTCTCAAGTTAAACTAAATTTTTGAGATGGAGACTGAAATATCTACATAAGACGATCAATGTACATATATGCCTATAAGACTAATGCTGACATTTGGACTATGCCAAAGATATCAATATTGATACTGTCTTATGTTGTGCTAGCATATATTAGTACAGAGAAAGACAGGCTTTGATATAAAATCACCAATTAAGACAATACATTAAATTTTAAATCCATATATATAAGGCTATTATATGTTTGAATGTATATATAATTTTTTTTCTTTAAATAAAAGTTCTAATCAGTTCACATTCTTAGTGATACTAATCTCGTGTTGCAAACAGCACAGCACCCTCTGGTGCATCTGTTATAAGATGTATAAAATTCCCACAAAAAAAGGAAAAAAAAAGGATAGAATCAGAGTAAAAATGAACCTTAGAAATCAATAAGTTGATATTCTTTTATTTACTCCAGTACATATTTTTAAACATTAATGTTTAAAAACAACTTTCATTTTAAAAGAGCACTAAAAACTTTATAGTAACAATTGAATTCGGTGAGAAAAATGTTTTAGTTTGAAAATACTTAAAATAATGAAACAACAAAAACACTGGTTTCCAACATTTATCATTCAGATTAAAATAATGCTGTCCTAAAAAAAAAAAAAAAACTTTAAGTATGGGATGGCAAAAGTTAACTTGTCATGTTAACCTAATTTTACTTTATTCAAATCTGCCTTGGCTTTTTGCTTCAGATAAATTTGACTAGTTATATAAAGTGCCCCTGAGTACTTTTTCTGGATTCACAGGGAATTTACCATTTTTTTTAAGAATTTTTAAGTGTTTTGTGAAAAGGATCTGCAATTTATACAACTTGAAAATAGAATAATATTCAGGAAAAAAATTATGTTAAATTACTAATCTTAATGTGAATAGTTCAAAACTTTTACTTTAAAAAAAAACCCCACTTCCTAGGAAAATAACTCCAAAAGTATATTTTACTGAGGACAAAAGCAAAGGATGCCACCTGCTTTAGACAGCCCTTTTGTGAACCACTAGAAGTCCCAACACAATGCACTAGAAATGAAAGTGACACCTGTTTAAAGCAGCCATCTGTCCCCAATAAACTGGATTTAGTCAAATCCACTTAATCTGGGATTTCCAAAATATAGGAACACTATGCACCTGTGAACAGAGAGGAATTCAAAATCTGGTTTTTGATGGCCACTGTGAATTTATACCAGACTTCAGAAAAATGGTTCTGTTAGGGAAATTACTTATTTTGGAAGTAAATGGAAGTGGAAGATTTTTCAGCTAATGCTCAACATAAAAACAAAAAACAAAAACAAAAAAACCAACAGACACTGCCTAATTTAAAGGTTTACTTCTTTGATTTATAAGTTTACTTCTTTGGTATTCTCATTTCTTGTAACATAGTCTCACTATAATAATACCAAGAACAAAGTAGCGCATTCCTATTTGACTGTTCAGAAAAGTGTTGTTGTTTTTTTTAACTCTTCCCAGACATCTGATGCTCCATCCACTCTTTTAAACACACACAAATACACAAACACGCTTAAAAATTTGAAAAGCAAAATCATACTCTACCTACTGATTTCTTCAGTTTGCAGTTAGAGGAAAGCACACACAACATCAACTTTCTCAAGAATAATGAAATGTGTTGCCAAAAAAGCAACACATATCATTATTTAAATAATACATTGACTCTATCTTGATTAGGATTGATTCATTTTTAATTGCTAATTTTTAATGGTAACAAATTTACCATATTAACTTTGTTTAGGGTAAAAAAATTGTTTAGGGTTAAAGTATATTAAACTTATAAATTATAAACCCTTTATTTGAGTATCTGAGTACAAGACTATTTGAATACTGAAGGAATAATATATTAGTTTTTAAATTAGGTATAACTACCCCATAGACTGAAAACATGGAATGATGCATTTTAGGAAGGCATTTTATTGGGCTGTTGGAAAAATCATGACATATTTTTTCTATGTTTTCGTTGCAAAATGTGTCATGATTTTTCCGACAACCCAATAGCTTACTATATTACAAACGTAAATATACTACAAAAATATGCTGATACCACTTAATGCAATTCATAGGCAAAACTATCTAAAAGATTGAGATAAGCATTATGACATACAATGAATCACAGATATTCAGCCACTAAAAACAAGCCACAAGTGACTCCTATGTAATTGTTTTAGTTTTAATGCGTGGTCACTCACTTTCAGAGATTTCTATTAGTCTAAAAACAGAACACAGAAGACCAATACACAACATAGTCCCTTGCGGGAAAAATATCACAGAAAGAATAAACGAAGTGCTAAGTATTTACCCTTCTGTTAAACTTAAAAATGTATCACTTGTTAGTATTTCTGGTTATTTTCTCAATCCATATGAATGATATTGGTATACTTGAGCCCAAAGCATCTCTAACAGCAACTTTTATATCACCTATGTGCTTTTAAAACAGGATAATAGAATTCAATTTAAGTTCTGCTTTCAAATCAACTTGTGAATGAAAGTCTAAATGATTGAATCTGAGATAATTTTCATGAGTGAAATGCCTCAAAAAAGTTCTTGGACACTGCAAATAAAAATATTAAACCATAACATTACAGCATATAATCTATTCAGCTGAAAACCCATTATGTAAATGGCCTAAGGTCTGAAACTGTCTCAAGACAGCAAAACTCCTATTAACTTCAGAGAGATTTTATAGGACTCAGGAGCTTCACCATCCAAAAGAGTTCAGGCATTTGACACTTATCTGAACAGAAAAAAAAAAAAATACAAGTTAGTTATTAGAGATTTGCATGGAACCCAAGTTGGGGAGGGGTTGAATATAAAGGAATTAGGATGCTCTGAGAAAGACTTCTTGCAGAATAAACTATCATCCTCATTTAAAATAGCAATCACAAGAAAATGAATTGAAAAAGAGTTACAAAAAATTTTTTTAAAAAAGCCCAACTTTTAGTTTACAAAGTATTGGCCTTAATAGTATTTCAATTACTCAACCTCCTCTTTGACAATCTCAAGAATAATTAATACTGTCACATTATTCACAGTGCTCTGTCAAATAAATCAATATATGTTTACTGCTATAAAGATTATTTAAATAAGTATTTTAAAATTCCAAATCACAAACTTCAATATGTGCAAATATAACAGTATATTTGTTTTAGCACATATTCATTATCAAAACTCTTTACTGATAATAATCTATTAATTAAACGTTAGGCTGAAAAAAGAACAAATTTACAGGATCTGGAAAACTGGGTTGCCTCTAACCAAGAGCTCTACTACTTGAGGACTGATAAGTATTCATAGCTACAAAGAAAAAATAGATTTTTTTTTAAAAGAGACATAACAAGGAGAAAGTTCTCTCCTCTCACCAGGTTGAACTCATTGCCCAAAGAAAACCAAAAATAAAGAAGAGTATGTTAAGTACACACATGCCTACATCTTAACAACCATAAAGAAAGTGAAATATACACACGTTTCAAGTTGAGAAGCTTCATACATTCTTTATGAACAACTTGACTTCAGTTTCAACTCTCAGAGAAAAGCGAACAGAGGAAAAGATAAAGAGGGGGGGAAAAACTCTTTAAAGTACCATAACTGTCACAAATCACATTGTACACTGAGTTCTCACAAAGCTTCCTCATGTGCTGTCCCTGTGTAGCACACACACAGTCTTACAACCACAATGAGAACTGTTACCACTCCACTGTGGGGAAGGAGGTTCATCAAAGTGAAATGGAACCTCACCACTACCCCTCCCACCTCCTCGCGAAGGATAAAGCACTGTCAATAACTACTAACCCAAGTATCACTGATGCCCTGCATCCGGTTTAAATCACAAGCACACACACACACCACACCAAAAAAGAGAGTGAGAGACTTTAAACAAATCTTTTCCAGTGAAGCAGAGTCCAGGGAAGGGGCCCCAGGTTTCAGCGTGCAAGGGGTGTGGGGGGAGAAGAAGGGGG